ACAAAACAAGAAGGAGAATCCTAAATGACAGGATGAGGGGTTGTTTTCTTACATTTCTTCTGAAGGTTTCAAGAAAAACAAGGCACACACACACACACACACACACACACACTATAATATGTTCAAATGCTGATCTAAGGTTTTCTCATCGAACTGTTTTTGAAAGGATAACAGTCATTATGGCTCTGCAGCAACACTAAGTGTTAAAGGATGGAATATCAAAATCAGTGCTGTGAAATATTAGTTATAAGAATTTTAATATTTTCTACTAAACTAACTTTCAAAAAAATTAAAGTCTGACTAAACTCTGACTCAAATACCATGTAGTATGTTTGAATCATATTTATTCTTTGTCTATTTTACATAACACACACCCACAAAATATACAGTATGGGAAGATTTAACAAAATGATTGAGTAAATATTCTACCTCACATGCTATACAAAAAATGTAACCAAAGTTTATTCAGAAATGTAATTTTTTTAAATAAAAAAGTGGCCATATTAGGAGTTTTTTAAATATATTTATATCTTTGATTTTGCATTCTTCTCATGTTGAAATTTACAAATTACAATGGAATTAATTTAATGTGACTAAATAAAAGTAGTTTAAAATAAATGTGCAAAGCAAAATGAACAATTTACTCAATGACACTTTAATCCATGTCACATAGTTTGCATTACAGTTGCAGTTCAGTTATGATTCAGTTCAAAAACTGCTTTCTGATTTTAATTATTTTGAGTAAGATTTTTAATTATAATTTTTTATTTATTCACTAATTCTCTAAGCCTAGAAATGTGCCTTTCTGTATTAAAAGCATGTCCACAACTCAAGATTAATAAAAAAAAAAAGAGCCATTCGCTGCTTTTGCCCTCTTCACATGCATTTTCAGTAGGTGAGATAAAAGTAACTGGAGCTCCACCTCGTTAGCACAAGCATGTCACACACACATGTTGCAATATTTGGGGAATTTGACTTTATCTGTGGTCTGCTCTCTAACTGAACAGCTGACACAGAGACCAAACTACCCTCAGGCTAATTTTCTGACCATACTTGAGCCACCACTTCGGCAGTCAGGAGCCCTGATATGGATCTAAAAAGCATCAGGCTGACCTAACGTCATGGCTTCTGTTTCCATTTAGGATAAAGGCGTCATAGCCCAGGGGAAATGGTGTTGATGGTGGTGGTGGTGGGGTGTATATTAAGACAGATGGAAGAGCTCCTATTTGTCAAGCAGCCGTGTTTTTTTTTACTAGTGTCCATGTCGGTGATTGGCTGAGCCACAGCGCCGAAGCCTGGGATTCAAAATAAAAATTGAAAAATAGACTCGCTGACTGATGAGCGCTCAGCGGGACTGAACATACAGTAGACTGAGGAGGAGGAGGAGGAAGCATGTGAGGCAGCTTGTTGTGCTACTTCTACAGTATGAGGTCTTCACAGGGATCCGGAGCTGGCAGCTTCTTGGGGCCAAGAAACACACGGGGGCCCGAACATGCAGAAAATAAGCCCTTTGTTAGGTGTAGCTTTACTTTATGCAAGACAATTCTGGTTTTTGTGCAGGTTTCACTTTACAAATCAAAGTGGAACGATAACTGTATTGAAATTATCGTATGTTTTTCAATCCCCTTAGGGCCACAAAAATGCTTCAGCCAGGCTTCCAAGGAATGGAAATCATCAGGAAAGTATCACATACTGACAGATTAAAACCACAGATTTCAACCGACACGGACAGAGCTTTGTGTCTTTATTTTAATGTTATTCTGTGTCTGCTGGGTGGTCTAAATATGCACCTATTAACTTAAAAGTCTGTCCAGCCATTCTAATGTGGGTTTTAAGGTTTCATTTGTCTGCCAGAACAAAACACTTTCCCATCCTTTCACTATCTCTAAAAGGAATGTAACAGTTAATGAACATTTAAGGTGTATTATGACATTTTTAGGGTGAGGGTAGCCTTGGTTGTATTTTTAGGTTTGTATTACTGTAGGTTAAAAACAATCCAGAAATTGAAGCAACAAAAAACATTAAAGACTCAACATTATTCAGTCTACTGAGATGAAGGGATTTAAAATGATTTTGCACAAGAACACAGTCAAAGCCATTACAACAAGGTTTAGGTTGAACAGTGCTGGGTTACAGCTCACATCTGCACATGTATAATAACAGAAATGTATGTGTCAGAGGGAAAAGGGAGGTCTCGTGGTATAAGTATCTGCTCGTGTGTGTGTGTGTGTGTGTGTGTGTGTGTGTGTGTGTGTGTGTGTGTGTGTGTGTGTGTGTGTGTGTGTGTGTGTGTGTGTGTGTGTGTGTGTGTGTGTGTATGATTGTAAAGCACCTGCTGTGTTGCTGCAGGAAGCACCTGTCAGCAGTTGTCTCCTCAGTGCAGCCTCTGTCGACATGAGGGTTTGATCCTAAAACTCCCCAAACACGCACACTTACACAGACACTAACAGACAACTTAAGCCAGCGGCTCACTGTGCTGCAGGGGGAAGCACATTGTCTGTGGTTTTGTTCATGTTAAACTGACAACACACTCTTGTCAGAGGTACTGGGGACCGGGGCAGGCCTACTGTTTTGGTGGCATATGAAAAATGGGAATCAGCTTGCTTGGCTCTAGCATGAGAACCTGCAGTGTGTGTATGTGTGTATGTGTGTGTGTGTTTACAACCTGTGTGGGGTACTTTTACAAGAGGTGAAACCTCCTGCGCTGCAGCCTGAGCAAAAGTTCAACTAGACACACACACACTTGTACTTCTATGTTTGTGAGGACACCCACTGACATAATGCATTCCTTAGCCCCTTACCCTGACCTTACCCATTAGAACTAAATGCCTAACACCTAACCCTAGCCTAAATTTAATTCTAACCTGAATCCTAAAACCAGGTGTTAACCCTCAGAAAGGTGTTTCAGAAAGTGAGGACTGTAGGCCGAGCATTGGCGGAGCCAGGGGGTGGCCAAGGGTGGGAGCGGCCGCTCCCAGAATCTGATTGGCGGCCCCTGATGGGTAAGACGAATGCATCAAGATGTGATGCTTGTCAGTATTAATGAATGAAAAACAAAAAACAATGACAAGTCACTGTCTTAAATACAAATACTCTTTTTTTTGGTGCTATGTAATAATGTTGATCAAATTGGATTTATTTTATATCATGCATGGAGCATCATATTTGCATTCATTTCTCTGTTTTGTTGTTGTGGGGTTTCTGTAGTTTTTATATGCTTTTCAAATATGCCATCTTCTCTCTGTCTGTTCCACAGCCTGGTCACCCTGTCTAAAAGTTTCTAGATCCACCTAAACAAAATCTTAACCCTCAACCAGTTCTTTGAAGGCATGTCCAAAAGTAAGGACCGGCCAAAATGCTGTCATTTTCCCAGAATGTCCTCACTCCCATGGTCTAAAACTCACACTGGCAGTGGCACTCACTGTGTACAACCATACAAATACCCACACAGGGCTTCTGAGAGGCAGAGGGTCAATCCCCGTTATCCACAGCCTGCATGCCTTTCATACACACACACCACCAACACAGCAACCTGACTCCCAGCTAGATTAGGACTAATCAAGAATGGCACAACATGTGTCTAAATATGAACAATGGCAACTAAACTGCGCTTTCAAAAGGCCCTTAAACTCTGACATAATTTTAAAAATTCTGAAATTGTGGTTTCCTATTTCCATTCCAATCCTTATTATGTAATAAAGATCTACATTTTAATTAATGGTATATTGGTATTTAAGAACAGAAGTTTCAGGCTTCCATGAGATAATATAATTATAATTTGACCAACTATTCATTTGGAATTCATCCTGTTGTGGCTTAGTGGCTCACGACTGTGGACACACATTGTAAATGTGAAAATCCACCGATGTGAGAAATACAGGATAACATAAAACTAAATTCCCTCCCCCAGCAGCTGCATAGTAAGATTATATCCCTGTTATTTGGACAGGCAGATGGACTGGGTGGCATAGGGAGTGATGGGAAGTTGAAATGCGGCATATGTTTATATATGTTGGGTTGAAAGATTGCATGCTTCTCATTAACTCAAGAAACCTGTAGCAACTCCTTGATTTTATATGAAACCCTCTGAAAATTCAAAGTTCACCATCCCTAGGTGGGATGACTTGTTCGTCCATCCTCCCTCAGTTTTGTAGTCTGTAGTCTGAGCCTCATTTTGTCCCTGTAGTCGTCACGTGAAACCTTGTTGTGGCAGCCACCGTGTTACTGAGGACAGGGGATTTATGGATCAGAGGGCAACAGGGTGACCCCATCATGTTTTATGTTTTGGGACTTGTTCTGGATGTTATGGTCTCCGCACACGGTCTCCAGTCTGGTAGTACTGGGAGAGCTGGGCTAGAGATGCAGGATTAGTGATCAAAAGACTGGGGGGGGGGATTGGGGTAAAAGGCTGAGGTAACACTAGCCTGGTCTGCCCAGGTGGTGTGGCTGAAAAGAGACTAACATCTGTGGCGTAGATGGGTCGAACATGGGCCGTATGTGTGTAAGTGTGTGCATGACTTTTTTGGGGTGTACACTTCACGGTGAACTCCGTATAGTTAGATCTGAACCATAACCGATTGGATTTCAGGCTTGGGGAGGCAACCCCTGACCTTTTTACAACATCTGCACCACTGATTTTTTTTTCCTCGACCACATTTCAGCCTCCCATTACTCCCTGTGCCTCCCAGTCCATCTGCCTGCCCAGATAACAGGGGTATATTCTAATGTTTCAACCAGGTTTTTTAAATCTTTTTTTGTCACTTTGTGACCTTCGCTTACTCTACAGCCTATGTGAGAAGTTCACTCAGCTAATCAAAATCAGGAAATAGACAAAAATGAAGCTTTATTCACTATTGTGTTTATGCCATTAAAAAACAAGAAGCCAATACGCAAAAACACAGTTACAGGTTCATATTTACACCAATAAATACCTATGATGTTGTACAGTTCTAAGATATTTTTACACACGCTATTTGAGTTTCCTGCCAACCGTGGTGGTCTCACATGTGGGTGGTCTCATCTTCAGCATCTGTGTCATGCGGCAGAGTGATCTGGGCTTCAGGGAGGTTGCTGCACTGCAGGTACCAGAAAACCACTTGGACCTAAGCCACAAACACACAAAGACACAACATGTGCATTCAGACACTAGCAGACATTTATAAAGTATAGTTCAACCTTTACACTACAGCTAAAGATACGCAATGCTTGTCATATATAAACGGAAGTAAAACTCATTATGCAGTAAACAGTGTTCTGTTATGAAATATCAATTTATTAATAATTTTACTCCACTTTTCAGATTTATAGCTTAAAAAAATACTGTGATTCACCTCCTCTTTGTATGTCAAACTACTTTTCGGGTGAACATAAAGGGATTTAGTTTCATCTCACCAAAATCTTATTCCTGCTAATGTGAATAAGTCAAAGATAAAACATCAAATAATTGTTTAAATGAGACATATATGTTGTCTAACAGCTGGCTTGTTCATGTCTGTTAAAGACAAAACAATACTTGTTTTCTCTCAGTATTCAGCAGTATGTTCCACTTCATACTCACCTGCACCACCACCTCCTGGGAAATATCCACAGCGAATCCATGGTGCCCCAGTCCAACCACAGGGGGGCGTAAGAGGCTGGGCCCAAACACTGTGGCCAGGTTCATCAGAGACATCTTGTTGATGTTTTCCCTCTCAGAGATGCTGGAGAAATTATTATAAAGGAATATGAGGTTCACTTCACGGTTGTGGCTTTAATGGTGGCTCAGTTACCCTCACAGGTTTTTTATATTACTGCAAACATTGCAGATGTTTATGGTGAATGAAACAGCAATTCATTTTGTTGATTCAGCTAAATTTGTTCAGTTGTGGATGTTATTTTCCTGGTAAACAAGCAGCCTGTGGGATTTAAAAAAAAAACATTTTGATAGGAGTGATCCAGACCGTTGGAGGTGGTGCATGAGGTAGAGGAAGGTGTGGTGGTTGGCGTCAGGACAGGAGTGCAGCAGGGACAGCATGGAGGAGAGCCGGGAGTCTAAGTCCTTAATGTCTACAGGGGAACAATTACAAGCTCTTTAGGTGATGCTGCTGAGGGGGATGATTTAGAGGTGTCACTGTTAAAATGTTATGTCAAACAAGCTGCTCTCAACTATGAAAATACCATAAATACATGTGACGTGACAGCAATATGCAACATGAGCGCAACATTCAATTTGTTGGCTGTGTGCTAACACCAATGCATTGACTATATGAACGTGGCTTGTCATGCTGGTGATGTGTTCATCTTACCCAGCACCCTGGTCAAACTCTGAAACAGCTCCGTGGGAATGAGCGGCTCCGGCAGCTCTCTGAAGTACAGCTTGAGAAGCCCAGAGACGGTATTCACCTCTGCACTTCTCAGTCTGGTTACTGCCTCCCGCAGATCTAGGCAGAGCAGTGAGATGATGATCAGTATTACTGTATCTTCATTTTTAGCACACGCTTCTTTACAGCTGCTGTACAAGCACCCGGTCACAGCGCTGAATATGTAAAGCAGCAACAGCTGATAACTTGTGAGTCAGTAGCTTTTTGCGCAGCGGTAATAAGAACAACTTAACATAATGGCTAATGTACCTTAAAGAGGCATTAACTAAAATAAATCCAGTGACAGGACAGGATGTGGTGCCTCTCAGCTATACTACCCCCACGACACTCTGCTTCTGTTATTATTATAACTTCCCTATCCTGTGTTGTCACAGTACGGTTTGTAAACTTGCCCCACCTGTCACCTAGCCAAGGTTATAAGAAACGTTTTTCGCACTGTGACTAGTCGTCTCAAACATCCAGACATGGAGGAGCTCTCAGCAGCTAAAAGTCTGAAACAGCAGCTGCCAGAGTGAAGATGTGATGTCTTTTGCACAGAGATAGAGTGGGGCAAAGAAAGAACAAAAGCCAGGGTTAACATCGACGCAGCTTTTTGAGACAAAGAGTGTTAATAGCAGCCACACGACTCAAGTTTGACTCATAAAGGTGAGTGGTAGATATATACACACTGTAGGTGAAGGAGGCAGAGTAGCAAAATAAAAAACTTCAACACATCTTAAATAGTACACACACCTTTTAACCAAACTTTCATTTTTACCAACATCCACAAAACACACAGATCTGTTTATATCACACACACAACAAATGCTATGAGGAACAATGGAAGGGAAGTGAATTTGATTTCTTGGCATGTGTCAGGTTCTACAATGACAACATCTACAGTAGGATACCAGATTAAAGTTGTAACATCATCGATTGCCATGTAGAGGTTCTTGTAGAAGCAGTAGCAGTTCTTTCTTCTGAATGTGTTAGCCAGTCACCTGAGGTGATGCAGTAGATGTGGATGTTTGTACCAAATTTCATGGCATAATTTAGCCTGGACCAAAATGGTGGGCTGACACCAGGTAAAAATAAAAGTCTCCCATGTTTGGGCCCAGATTTCTGTTGTTTCAAATTGTCGGCACTGTATGAAATAACAACTAGCCTGTGTGAACTAGGACATAACAGCACATGTCAACAGAAAACTAATGTCAGGCTGTGTGTTTCCTTACTACTGTTGAATGCAGCCTTGAGCTTGCTGATTTCACTGCTGGTTCCTGAAACCCTGTAGATTCCCACTTCGTCCATCCCTCTCCTCTCCACCTCCTCCACGCAGCATCGCACCACATGGGGAACCAGCACCCCCTCCTGTCTGGTAGTGAATTAAAAGAACTGAGAATAAAACCCTCCTCAGATGCTCGGCACACTGAGCTACGGAAGAGTATTAGGGCCACTGCATACATTTTTTTTTTAATTCTGACTTTAATTTCAGAATTCTGAGAATAAAGTCAGAATTCTAAAATTAAAGTCAGAATTCTAAAATTAAAGTCAGAATTCTAAAATTAAAGTCAGAATTCTAAAATTAAAGTCAGAATTCTAAAATTAAAGTCAGAATTCTAAAATTAAAGTCAGAATTCTAAAATTAAAGTCAGAATTCTAAAATTAAAGTCAGAATTCTAAAATTAAAGTCAGAATTCTAAAATTAAAGTCAGAATTCTAAAATTAAAGTCAGAATTCTAAAATTAAAGTCAGAATTCTAAAATTAAAGTCAGAATTCTAAAATTAAAGTCAGAATTCTAAAATTAAAGTCAGAATTCTAAAATTAAAGTCAGAATTAAAAAAAAAAGTATGCTGTGGCCCTAATACTCTTCCGTACTGAGCTGTTTCATTTCAGTTCAGAAAATGTGCTTGTCCAACTTCTGCTTTTCTTCAGCCCACCCCACAAACAGTTTCCCTTCTGGAAGGTAGCTGCACAGAGGGGAAATACAAACTGAGACTGAACTGGAGCTTCTAGTTTCAAGTATTTAATAAAAAGAGACACCTCTTTTCTTTTATTCAAAAAGACTGGCTACGACTTACTGAACCACAGTCTCAATGGGGACACAGAAGACAGGCTGCTGTTGAGCTGTGGATCTGGAGCGGATGGGGAGTGTACTTCAGGGACAGAGTCACCTCCACCTGGCCAAGCTGCAGAGTCTGTCTCCTCCATCGCTTATTCAGGGACTTAGATTCCAACTTATGAACACAACAATATGCAAAAATCACTATTACATAAACATCACAACAAAATGCTAAAGTTTCTAAGTGTCGCCATACCTTTAAAGTTGTTTTTCCCAAAACGGTATCATGGTGTTGGTCGGACTGACTCACACAGAGGACCCTCATGTTCTGTGCCCCATCCACCTGGAAAGACAGCTCCTGTTTGAAATAAGGAAGATGATATTAACACTAACACAGACAACAATGCCATAAACAGAACAAGCAGTCATATCTTATCTTTTTTTTTTTTCAAATTTAAAGACAAAATCACATTGAATAATTCTGTTCAAAAGGCACTCAGGTCAAACCTGGTCCCAGTGTGGGTTGAGCGTGTGGACTGACGAGTGGGTCTGGGCCTGTTTATCGTGAAACTCATAGCCATCTACTTCTACACACACATAAACACCTGAAAGACAAAGAGAACCAAAAGTTCAGCTACTTAATCACCTCTAGGTCATCATTAAAATCAACCTTCTTCTCCCCCTTCAGTTAGAGGCAAATTTAAATTTCAGACATCATGGTCTTTAGTATCATTTGAAAATCTAAGATTTTAATAACCTACAGGTTGGTTGCTGCAGGCCAGAGGCAGAGTGAATGGCCACACTCAGAGTCCCACACATCGATTCCTCGTCCTCTACTGTGAGAAACGGAAACAAAAATATCCCAGAGCTCATGGACCCTAAACTAAAGTGAAACTTAAGACAACAGAGGCATAAAGAAAGCTTTTGTGATACAGGAAGTGGTTCTGTGGTGAGGCTGTACCTGTGCTGTCACTGTGTAGTGGTGGCTGCTGGGTCATTCTCAGTTTCACACATGCACTGGTGAGTGTGAGCAGGTCTGGAGGGACTGTTTCTATGTCTGACAAACAACACATGGCAAGCACAGGCACCAATCAGCATTGCATTAGACTTAACTCCGGTGACAATGGTTAGGTTTTTACATTTGCTATCAAGCATTTGTCTGTTAAGATACTTTTTCTAAACTCTTAACACAGCAACACAAATCTTTGCTGCAAGAAAGCTGTGCTGCTTTATCACTCTTATGCCAGTTAGTCTAAATGTCTTGTTAGAGTACAGCATGATGTAAATCTGACTGCAAAGATCTGTGTTGAAATAACCACAGAATGAGTTTTTATAGTAATTAGCCTTCAGACTGGCCAAAAGCCTTAAAACCTACTGTCTGTGGTGAGTTTGTAGATGGCTTCTCTCCATTCTTCGAGTTCATACAAGGAGGAGAAGAGGAGAGAGTGACTCTGCAAAACAAACCAATCATAGTATTAGTCTCTTATTGTCAATGACAACTATTTAATTAGAGTGAAGGTATTAGGATGCGGGGGTGCATGTGGACCTTGCCACTGGGGCTGTGCAGCTCCAGTTTGTAAACAGGGGAGTGTGTGAACAGCATCAGCTCCAACTGATCCAGTTTCTTCCTGCTACGAGCTGCCATGATTATGCTTCTGGATCCCTTCTTCACACACAAACACACGTCTGTATTTCAGTCTTGTGTTATAAACACTGGTCATACCTTTATTTCTATATTTGTGTCTCTTTCACAAAAACATACTGCTTGTTGCTGGAGCTGCTGCTGGAGGAGGTACATCTTGGTCCTGATGGTGTGTAAACGGAGGTGTGTGTCAGATGATTGATCCTCATCTGTAACCAAGCGTAGTTTTAGGCCAGCAAGAGGGAGATACCAGCAGAACCTGTACTGTTCCTGCTTCCTGGAAGAAGCAAATGCATGTTTAGTCAAAGATGTACCTAATGGCAACGTATAACTTCTGTTAGTGAGGTCCTTTAAATCTGTGTCATATGAACTCATGTACTCCTTCATAGGCCCGTCATGTTCCAAATAGGTCATTGTAACTTGTTTTAAACTGGATGTCATTTACCATATGAGTTATACAGGGTGGGCCATGGAAAAGTACAATACACATGCATACATGAAGTGTTGTTACTGACAGTTTCTCAATATGTAGACCACACGTCCCACAAGACTTGGTGCTTGTGGGACGTGCAAACTCTTGCTATGCTCACCCTCTGTTTGCATGTTTTAGTCTGGTGCACAGCAGTAGGTCGGTGTAAAGAAAGAGGTGACGCAGGCTGCGCTCCCCATCACTCGCATCCACCACAAAGCCATCACGCATCAGCTGACGTCTCTGTAATAAACACACACACACACACACACACACAGACACAGACACATCATGTTCAGGGGGGCATTTTGAAGCTTCCGTTACTGCATGTTGTCAGGAGGGGAAGAGTACATGAGAATGGGCGCATTATTAAGCATGTTTCCTACTACATCTTTACCAGATTTTGTACAGTACCATGCCATGACTAAGGGTGACATCCCGTTTACTCCGCGAACTCTCGTTGACACCAGACAGGAAGCTGCGAGACAATCTCAAAGCTTCCTGTAACACTGTATAGTCTCTGTGTTCGGCCGGTGTGGTCTTCAGGAGGTCCTACAAGATCACAAAAAAAAAAACTAAGTTTTATTGTGCAGCAACTAGTCAACAAAGCTTGGAAGTAAATCTAATCAAATGACTATTCTGTGTGCTCTAATTGCTCTGTTACATTGCTGGAAGTATTTGAAATGTAAAAATATCAAGCAAATACTTAAGTTAAAACTTAAATGTTTAGATTTTAAAGCACAGAAATAGCCTTTTATATCACATACCAAGATTAGTATGTAGGTCTTTCACATTTGGCTTACATATAAAGTGGTGAAAACTGGGATTGTCAAAGGGGAAAGATGCAAATTAAAGCAAGAACACAGAAAAACAGTTATGAGAAAATACAAGAAAATGGGAGAAACAAAAAGCAAGACGGCATCAGAAATAAAAAGGCACAGTAAACATTGTTAGAAAATAACAGCTTCCAGAGGTGAAGCCAGAGTTAAGGTGGCAAAAATCATTAAATGAATTATTCAGTTTTCTCACACGCAGCACTAGTGTAGTCCTGGTCACTCTATCTAAAGGCTTGTACAGTAGAGCTGTAAAGAGACAGACAGCAATTACACACTGACAGCTAATAAGTTAATTTGTGTTAAAAAAAAAAACAAATTTAGAATATGTACCTTCAAATGTGTACTTGGTCCGAGCTTTATCTGTGCCATTGTTAGACGTCATGCTCTAAGAAAGCAAGAGATAAAGCGGGACTGGTGAAGACAATCTTGTATTTGTTACAGTATCTGAGTAATGTATTTACTCTTCCTCTGGAGGTCGAGTTACCTCAGCCAGAGTTCGGAAGCGAGGGTCTGACTGGGTGCACTTGCGAACAACTTCAATAGCTTTCTCGTAGTTTTCAATGAAGCCACCATACAGACCAATCTGGTTCACCTGTACAAGCAGAATAATAGATATGTGGAAGGGGAAACCTTTATTCCTAGTAAGATATCTGTCATGTGAGAAGGTTAACAAAGTATTAGAAACTAATTAATTAAATAGTTATGGAACCAATACATTTTAGTCATACAACAGAAAAATATTAACATGTTTGCAGATGATGTCATTCTTTCCTGCAAGATGGACAGTTTTAACAGGGAAACAAACATCAGTCAAACTGGAGAGTCTAGCGTCTTCATACCTGTGGGAATCTTATTTTTTCACAGTTTTTTTTCTGAATTCCTAAAGGACAACACAGAATAAAACCACCTAACAACAGAGAACCTACCATTCTCAGAAACAGGTCCCCCACCATGTGTTCAAAACCCATTTCGTTCATCTCTCTTTCCTCACCCAGGCTGGGATCTGTCTGGCAGTGAGCACTCAGCCGGGCCTTCAGGTCTGAGTAGAAGCTTTGGTGCATGTCTCTGAGCTCTGGCACCTGGTAGAAAACAGTCTGGACCTGTTGGCTGGACAAAACTGGCTGGGAGGTCCCAGCCGAGGCCCACAAAGCCTTCATGGGCTAGAGGGAAAGAAAAAGGTGCATCAGTAAATGTGCAAACAAAGCTGCTAAAGGCTGGCATACTGTATTTTGGTGGGTGAGAAGAAAACGCTGGTGTGTAGAAGATGGTGAGAAAATAGAAAAGAGTAACAAGGGTGTGGTGAACTGAGAAACACAACAATGTGTGACCAGAAACTGAGTGCACACATGAATCCCATCTTTCAGCAGATTAAAGGGGAAGAGTGTTTTAAAATGTAAGATAGGCTTTGGTTTTATGGGGGGTTAGCATTAGCTGTAGCTTCATATTAACTTCACTGTTAATATGAAACAGTCATTTCACTTATCTTGCCATAGAGACCAGAAACCACTAGCCTGTCTACGCCCAAAGGTAACAGGCACCTCAAAAGTTAACTAATTAACATTATAATAATCTTACCATCAGCAGGGCCTCCAGCTCTCTGAGGTAGACCTCCTCGCTCTCCACGATGCCTTTCAGGACCACAAGTCTCCTCTCTAACATTTCTCTCGGGCTGCATGACATCTGAATCACAGCCAGCCAATAAAAATGTCAAAATACAGCAAAGCGAGTCTGAAAAACCGTGTCATCACAACACTACCAACTGTTTCACAACAGTTTCTGAGAATGGTAGTCACAGTCTGGTGTCGTTCCCCCCCCCCAGGTGCAGACACTCACAGCAGTCAACCTCCATCAGTCTTCATGTCACTACAGAATTCAGTTTTGCTTTATGTGTGTTGAAAATGCATAACTAACTCAGGAACGTTAGCTACATTTGAAAAAACGAGTTCAGCAAATAATATTAATTTGATATTATATTTAATATTAATTTTCCTTTCACTTTTCTCACCTTAAAGGGGTAATCAGTGGTCCATTCTTTCTCTGAGGACTGACATCAACATTAACCTTTATCATGGTTTACACTGTTTTGATTATTATGAAAAGAAAGAAACAACCTACCATAAATTAATATGTATTTCAGTCACACGGGAAGTTTCCCATCACAACGGTTCTCCAATTTACAAAAAAAACCCCTCTCAAACAGTGCATACTGGGAAGTTTGCTAGTTCTGTTTTTCTGCAACCTTAACGGGTTGAGTGAAGTCTTAGCGGTTCATTCACCCAACTCATTATTTCAAGTTGAATACTTGTCATGCAAAATGTTACTTGCAGTTGAAACTTTGTGTGCCCACCTGACCTTTCTCTATTTCCCCACTGTTACTGTGAAAATAAACATACTAAAAGACTGAACTGGCCAGTAGAGCACACAGAGAACTGCGAAGAACCTGCTGAGTGACGCAGAACATTTGTGATGTAGGTGAAATGTGAACTCACAGGGGTGTCAGGGAAGTCTATGCTCTCAACTTGGAGAGGTGATAGTAAACAGGACTCTGCCTCCTCCTGGAATACATCTTCCTCTAAGACATCAGACTCTGGTTCTAATACAAGTGGTACACAAATACACAAAATAACATAGTATGTGGGAGTAATAAAAACAAGTTCCCTTATTTGCTTCCCCCTTATTAGTGTTGTTGGTCATAAAAAATAAAAGATAGCTTTTCTTTGAATAAGGTGGCTTTTATTCATCAAAATAATGACTAAAAGCTCAATTTAGTGCAGATTATAGTGCATTTTCAACAAACAAAATGAGTAAATGACAACACCTTTTTAAGGATCATTGTGTTGTTCTCCCCAAAAGGAACATATTATGCTTCACAAATTAGCTTTTTCTTTACATAACACAAGACAAAGTCCCTCACCTGGTATGTGCTGTGAGTTCAGGTAGTGCACGGACTCCTGGTAGACGTCCATCAGCCCTCTGAGGTCTTCTCCTCACAGTGCAGGCTGAGCTCTGCAGATGCAGCATGTGAGCACGCATAGCTGGTGAGAGAATACTTCCTCTTTCTTTTAATAATGCGCAAAAGAGGAAAATACAACTTCCTGTATGTGTGCACCCTGCTAAGAACTGGCACACGCCATAAATATATTCCCATAGTTGAACTTCACTTCCTCTAAATGTATGAATTTCAACACATGGGCAGTGGGGGCAGTAGCAGCAGGTTGAGTTTAGTGACAAGCTTTAGAGAGTTATCAGTGACCAAGTCTTATACCAAGTCACAACAGTAGTTGTATAGTCCAAAATCAGATTAACTAGGCCTATGTGATTGATAAGAAATAATGAAATATCCATCTTACCTTCACTGTTCCACACTCCTTTATTATTCCATGGAAGATAAAGGGTTGCCCCTTTTGATAGCTGATGAGCTGCATTTATTAGTCCAACAGCGACCTCTGCAGGAAAAGAGCTCAGCCTCACTGAAACTTCATTTAATGTTTGGTGTTGCATCTGGCTATACAACCCTGCTAGCTCCTGTTTTGTACTCTGTTCATATCTGATGAGTGCAGCACCACAGAGGTTCTCAGATACTTCCTGTAGCAACATGTCAACTGGCGCTAGGACCCTGCCTGTGGTTTGTGGTGTCCTCAAGCCACATCTACTTCATGTCCTGACACTATTTTTAAGAGCAGTGAAAATTGTGTGTAGAACATTGTTTTTGAAGCTTGAAGGCCCGGTATGTCATTTTTGAACACATAAATCTCGCATCTGTTCATATGTTTGAAGACTGAGTTGCAACTAATTTTCAGTTATTGGTTTCTTCATCAATTTTAAATCAAAATACTAGTTTTACTTTTATGTTTACAGACACCACTGACAAGCATCAGAAAACATTCATAGCTCTATTTTAGTTCAGTTTTGTGTTGGGATTTTTTGGGCAGTGGGTCTAGTTTACATACATATTCTCTCATACTCCGTGTTCTTTCTTCAGCATCTCCCAAGGGAGATAAATGCTCCTCTGTGTTCACCAGCTAGTCACTAACTCATCTGCCTGCAGTCTGGTGCTGAGCCAGTGTCTTACAGTAGGTTTAAAAGAACTTTACTGAAGATGGCTTCCTGATAAGAATAGTGAGAGTGAACCAAAGGGTCCGAAACTGAAAACAAAGACGTAAAAATGGCTAAAAGGCTCAGCAGATCTGAGGAACAGGCTTGGACTCTGGAGGCAGCTGCTGCGGACCTGACTCGGGCTGCTGCAACTGGGGGTCCGGATGGGACGGACAAGGGCTGTGCTGCTGCTGCTGCTGCTCGGGATTGGACTCAGGCAGAGGACGCCGTCTACACCTGCAGCCTGTGACCTGAGAAACAGGTGTCAGCTCTTGGATCTCCTGAGGCAGCGAATCCAAAGGCTGCAGCGGTGAACCAGGCTCAGGCTGAGGCTGCAGCGGTGAACCAGGCTTGGGAAACTTAGGTGCTAGTGGGAAAGTGTCTTTATTACAAACATATATGCTGATAAGTCAATGGGTTATGCGTGGTCCAAACCAGGGTTAAGTAGTGGAGGCTGCGAAGACCAGGACGAGCAGGTAAGCAGGTAGGCAAGCAGCAGGAACCAGGAGAGTCAGAAGACCAGGATGGGCAGGTGAGTAGACAGGAGAGCCACAAGAACTAGGAAGATCACCGGAGGTAATCATGATAGGTACCAGGAGGATCACCGGAGGTGATCATGACAGGGAGGATCACAGGAACCAGAGGATCGGCGTCAGGTAAGCAGAGTAGCGAGCGCCAGGTAGTGATGGCCAATCAAGGCTTTGTTGAAGCTTCAAGTGTTCACAAAAATGGTTCATTACTCGAGGCTTCAATGACGCAGTGCTCGAGTATGAAGTACAGCCAAGACGTTTCATTGGTTCATGGATTGTTTGGGATTTGATTCACCATGCACATTCCTGTTCAACTACACTATATGGTTGTATGGTTTCAAGCTGACACAGTAAAATATGACATAAACATGAACTCATGTGGGATGATAGAGAAAGGAGAAGAGAGGCAGGTCACAGACCTGATACTGGGGGGAAGTGCTCAGTTCACCACTGTATTAACTTGAAAATAATGATTAAAGCAGCTTTAATTTGAGATTCACAAGCTTCGTGAATCTTGCAAAAAGGCAACTATCTATAATATATTCTCATTTTCAGAAACTCTTATAACAGAATGTATTTTACATATATTTTTGGCTTTTTTGTTTTGATAAAGATCAACATATATCATGGCTGCATAGCCTCCAATGTGTGTTTTAGTGGCAGCCAATTTAGTTTAAATTTTTACTTTATTTTTCTTGATAAAATAGAAACATGAACCACTTTAATAGGGATTTTGCATTTCTGAGAACACCTGAAGGCAACATGACTAGTACCAGACTGTTCCTCCTGCAGGGGGCGCTGCATCCCCAAATTCAGTCTTTACTGTTAGAATGAGTAAGTTCTCAAAAACAAAGGATTCAGTTTTAAATTTCACTATTATTAATGCAGACAAAGCATGTGTTGGGCTTCCCTTCTCTCATTCACACTCAAACATTACTCCAGACCTGCTGATCACCCACACCCATCTCTTATTCTCAGTTTCTTCTTTCTCCTATTTCCCAGGTAATGGAAACTTAACTGCATAGTGAAAATGAAAGGACAATATGAGATGAGAGATAAACAAGCTCAAGGTCACGTGGTCCTGTCTGATCCTCACTGTAGCACAACTGAAGCTGAACAAGGAAATACCATGCAGTGAGAGAATAAGACAGGGGCAAAAACTAAAAATGTCAACCTCATGGTGGCATGTTGCTAGCATGGCTAATACTGCCAAGATTTTAAAGGCCATTAAACAAAATAAAGTATGACAGTCAATACTAATTGTGTAAATGTAGAGCCATAAATAACTATGGTAATAAATGTGTTAGAATGGTAAAAATGTACACTACAGCCGTAGTTCTTGTCATAATGTATGCAGTAATAATACAACCTGATACAATTGTTACTGAACTTTGGACCAATACACAAAAGGAATGGCTGCTTTGCACACCCCCATTTATTCTGTGCACACACACACACACACACACACATTCACACAGGTTAAGTGTGTGGGTGGTAGGTTAGACAATAACTTGGTCAGAGAAAGTGCTGCCTCTACGAGTGTGTCAGTGAAATCAACTTTTCTGCTACTTCAACATTTTCAGGCATGTCCACAGCAGCTCCACTTCCTAGAATCTGTAAGTTTGGGGTCATGATATTGTCTTTGTAACATCAACCACTTTCTCCACCCTTCCTCCCACCACCGGATTCCCTTCCTGTTTTTGTTGGCTGTGATCACAGTCTGTGCAGTTTTACTATGATGTGAAGGCATATGAAGGGACAGTGGCCCACTGACTTCGAGGATCCTAATACTTTGTTTTTATTTTTTGCGAAATACGCTGACAACTACTAGATTGATTGCCATGACATTTGGTACAGACATTCATGCCCCCCTCCTGTTAGCAGCTTTGGTGTTCATGTGATTTTCATCTTGCCCCATCAGCAGGATAAATATTTACATTTCAGGTTTAAATGGGTTTAAACAGTCTCTCTGGCCATTTTAAATATGTGTCCTTGTATATTATTTCACAATATCATAGTAAAATATGTATCTTTATATTTTTCATGAAGACATTATGGTTAGAGGAGTATTCTGCAGTGGGAATTATATCTGTATGACAATTAACTCCTGAGTTTGGGATCGTGTGTCTTGCAAAAGCAGGTGGTTTCTGTCCTGGCAAGTGAGTAATATTCTGGATGGGAGGAGGAGAGTGGTTAACACACATCTGTATCTAAGATGGGCCTGGTTTTACACATACTCCTCTGTATACAAAAGGTTTGGGAGACTGTTCACATGTATGATTATAAAGATAATGCATATATACGTCTGTGCTATATCACATACTGTTGTGTATTCTTCTACCAAATACTGTGTCTATTCACAGTTGGAGAAGGGAAGTATGTGCCTGAGTTTGATTTAAGAGCGAAGCGAGTAGCAGCCAGGGACAGGATCATGACTTCTGGGGCGGTCCTGTCCAGAGTCCAAAAACATCTAGTTACAAAAACATGTTTAAGTAGAAAGTTGAGACACACATCTTGACAACGCATGATACATGATCTTTTGCTTCACATTACAGTTGGGTAAAGATGAACAGAAACTAGACACACACAACACATATTTTGCAACAAATAGAGACACAGGGGTGTGTAGGACTAGGTTCTTTTTACCATGCTAACTCTGAGAGACGAGACAGTCCAAGTAACTACAAAACAGTGCTGATTTATTCCATGAACAAAGGTAAAATTAACATTACACGCTCAGGAATCTTGCACCTCCATACTGCATGTAGGCAGATGTAAGATGAAAGACCCTGAACCCACCAGGCCTATACATTATATCCCCTCGGTTGGGCTAGCCCCATACTACACAGAAACGTCAACCGAGACGTCTCTGTTACCAGCTTTGCAGCTGGTCATAGTAGTAGTCAAAGCATGAAGTAAATCAATGTGTGTGTGTCTGTTGGTTAAGTGGTGTGTAGCTAAAAACATTCTCACAGACTTCTAGTAACATGTCGTGACTTAAACATAAGAATATATTATGGCTAAGGCTACAGTTATACACGTCATAATAATAATATTAAACATCCTGTCTGCTGACAGTCATCAACTCTTCTCTCTAGTTATCCTTGACCAGATGTACCCTGTAGAAACTCATAAGCATAACCAAGCATTTAACAGTCTAACTAGACATCCTATCTCCACTAAACATTTCTAATACATAAAGTATCTATCCAATTTCTATCTGACTAAAAATACCTAACAGGTGGAAAAAAGTAGATATGGTTGGTAGCTGAATCATCTGGACAGAAACAGGCCCGTGTACTGTGTGGTAATGAGTGGACAATCACTGACAACAGGGTGTGGACATTAATGGTATAAAAGAATTTCTTCAGTTGTGTTGATGAACCGACTCCGGATCTTTTTGCATATAATAAAAGGATCTGAAATATAAAACCCTTTTCTCTGAGCAACTGAGACTGTACGTATGTGTGTGAACCTGTGGACAAAATGACCTACTGCTTCACAAAGAGAGACCTCTTGAATACTGAGATTACAATATCAGCATTAAAAACACAACTATAGATGTGCTTCATAGTAGCGAACAGAATTCTGAGAAACCGATGTTTGCTCTCCAGTTACATCCCTTTTTGGTTATTTCGACTTGATAGTTCCTCCTTTTTAGATCCTTTTGGTTTCATATCCACTACTGACTAAATCAATCATTAAAAGTCTTGTGACTCAGTTTCTCTAAAACCTCTGAGTGCAAACTGAACCTGTTAATCATGATTTGGTGTGTAGTTACAGACTAGACATGTTGGACCGTGTTGCTAAGAACTTTTATCTGTTTGAACCATGACTTACTAATCGGCATTTACAGTTAAACTTTCAATTTCCATGGATCAAAAACATTTAGCTTACATTTCACATCCCGAGTAAAAAATGTGCTCAAGATAGAGCACGGATCGAGGTTTGTATTTTTATCCGAATCTGACCCGTGCCCCAGAGTGTGGCATCTGAACCTGACTCGGACCCGATAAGCTTATAGTATCCAACGTCTGAACCCGACGCAATTGAGTTTGTACCGTGTTTTTCTTCTGATCATTAAGTGAAGCATACATTTGAGCGCTCCAGCAGTCTAGCCTAAAGTTTGACCCACGTGTCCAAACCCGACCTGGACCCAAACAGTCATTTCTAAATATCTGACTGAACCCAGCCTGAACCGCCAGGCTCGGGCTGGGTTCAGGTATCCACACTCTAGAGCAAGGCTCAGTAAAAAGGAGCTCGACCGGATCATAGTGGTTTATGAAGATAATACACATGTGTGTATGCAAACTGTTTTTATTTTCACTCAGGGGAGAAAACAGGCTGCAGTACGAGTGAGCTAGTTACCTGCAACAGCAGTATTTTATTGTGAGTGAACTCAAGAACCAGACCAGCAGCACCATAACATTCAAACCAAATCTTGAACAGCAAGCGCAATCGTGTAAAAAAAGCTAATTTTCTAAACGACAAACACAAGATCACTTCTATACTATCCACTAAACCTTGGTGTACATTTTGTGCAAAAGCATACAGGTGGAGTTGGGGCAACGTCTTAATCTAACTGATCACGAAAAAAGAAGAAACAGAGCAGCTGATTTTATATATTTCCATTATTACAAGAGTAAAAAAAAATAACGAGTAGGTTATACATTTCTTGGCAAGCACATCATGTTCCCTCAGCCCACAGCCCAAACAGTTGCCGCCTACGCACTAACTACCTGGGTGGTGACCACTGCGTTGTTGCCTGCCGTTTTGCCCCTGACCTTCAGCTCCCGGTGCATCTGGCACCAGACACACGGGTAACACCAATATAGTTTACAGCAGTCGTCACAGCACGAGCCCTGCAGGAGGAAGGAGAGAAAGGACACTTGCTTACTAAAACATTTACTAAGCCTACTGAAAATAACTCAAGTGAAAGTAGGTTTCTTAAATGTAACTGTTTTTTGACTCTCAGGTGGTAGCTAGAGTTTATTTAAAGCTGCAGCAGAAGCGAAACTGACAGATGCCAAGCCAAGTTTATTCAAGTGGCACATCTTCATACATATTCAAAGTGCTTAAGACAATGCCCACAGATAGATCAAACTTTAACATGCATCCATGAATAAGACAATGCCCACAGATAGATAAAACTTTAACATGCATCTATGAATAAAACATTAGAATTCGATTCAAACTGTGAACGTTAATTAACTGTGCGAAGTAGCAACATGCATGAGTCAGTGCCTAGTACTTCTAGGATATCTGTGGCAGCATCTCACTGTCCACAATACACTTGCACCCCTAACCTCTGAGTACTTAACATCATTTGGAGTCCACCTGGTGAATGTAAGTCTCCTTTTGGCTCTGCTTTGGTCTCAGACCCTGAAAAAAATCTTTAGCTGCTGTGCTCACCAGCTATTATCTACAGTCTTATGCAAAAGTTTCCTGTTGTTTTGCGTACAGAGCTTTTGTGTTTGTAAAAGCTGCCGCTGGAAGCAAAGTTGAAAAAAAAAAAACTGCAAGAGTGAGGCAAAAGTTCTGGGTGTGAAAAACAAAACAATGAGCTAAAAGATGCTACACTGCCCTGTAGAGTTGAGGAGAGCTGCAGAGTTGGGTAATAAATCTCTGCAGGTGAGGTGTGCTTTCCTGTTCTACAGACAAAAACTGACAACAACAAATGAGGTTCAGAGGCTACGTTTCCATTTCCTCTTCCAGGAAAATGTGTCCATGAACCCAAATGTGCTCATTTGACCCTAGCTGCTTTTCTGAGACTTCAGTGCAACACTAACCTGAACAGTAAAGTCAGCAATGAGCTGACGAGGCTCATCGGTGTGGAAAACCTGGTTTAGTAAATATGCAAAATGTAATACAACTCCTCAGTGTTTGATAGGATACAGTTCTACCTCCAACAAAGTGCATGAATCATTTAAATGTGTCTATTATTTGCATTTTACCTTGAAATCGATAATAAAAAAAAATCAAAACCCAAGCACCATTTTTTGTACATTTTATGCCTAAAATAAAATAAGTCATTTATTTTCACTCAAACTTTGTTAAAAAAGTAATGTGCATTCAGTTATGAGCCTTATATCGTGAATCAGACCAGCAACTGTTACTCTGAACAAATGAAACTCTCCTAATGCCAAGGAGAGCTGTTATTTGAGAAGGCTCAGGGCAGGCCTGTATGACCTGCTGAGTAAATAATATACCTTTGTTTCTATTCAGGTATGTCTACTTAAATGTTTGTGTAGCTATAGAAATGTCTGAATGCTCTGAGCTGTGTGTGTGCTGTGCACATTATGTGCCTCACTTAACTTATTTGGCTAGTGAGCCTAGAATGTAAATTTGATGTCGATGACCTTTTCAGCATCCAGAAACCAATGTATAGTACATGTAGTGATGACATCAAATACAACATGAGACATTAACTATTAAAAAAAAAATCTAGCTGAGTATGTTTGCAAAACATGTAAACATCCTGTCCAGTGTCTGTGGGCAAATATGCACACTGTACACACATCTGCTGGACAAAATCGAGCAAACGCTGTATCTCACAGCTGCACTGGAAAGTTCAAGGACCTAACAGGAACCTCAGCTGCAGCTTTTCCCGTAAAGTGGTTACTGGTTGACCCACAGGAGAACTTCCTCACTTGTGGGAAAAGGCAAGATAACGGTCAAACTTTTAGCTATAAAAGCATTCAATGTCTCAATGGGCTCTATTTTTCTGCCAGCATCACTTCTGCATTGCCTCATTTATGGTCATTGTGCAAATTTCCTCAGACGCATGCCCAGTTTTTGTTGCGGATTTGGTATTTTCCTGCAATGAATGAATGCACTTATGCTGCGGTGGGAGGAGAGGGGCAGTTGAGGCTTTGTGTATGCTAATTAGGCAGTGCGGTGTAATATCAGTGCTCGTTTTGACCCGAAAAAGCCATAACACCTGCTCAGACCACCACTTATCGCTGTCTCAAGTGTGTTTGCAATTATCCTGACAAGCGCATAGGCTGGGAAGCATGAGATCAGGTAAATGCATGTATTTTAATGGCCACACCAACTTACAATTAACCCTTAAATCCACAACTGATCTGCTGGAATTCACCCTAATTCATTGCATATCATGAAGATTTTTTTAAAACAAGATAAATAAACTAGTCCTCAGTATGTGGCTATAAATATGAATATGGTCAAACAGTGCTGGCACGTGTCAGGACACAGCATCTGTAGCCAGAGCTGAGCTGTAAGTCTGTGTTTGGGAATCCACATCCACATTAAAAATGACACATAATTACATGTGAAAGCAGCTCATTAGCCAAGGTAAATAACAAACACCCTGCAAACCTCTTGATTAATTCTGTTACGCAGCAGGTAAAGTCAGCCGGACCTCACCGTGCGCTGCTGCCACTGTTAAGTTACAATTTCTTCAAACGAGAAAGCTTCGTTACCGCCACAAAGATATACGTTTTGTCTGTTTTTGTATTTTATGACAGTGTGATCAGCAGCTGCAGGTGAAGATAATGTGGGTGATACATCCACTTCCTGTGCGCTCTGGTGGGCCACAAAAGGTTTTACTACAAACACAGTGATCACAATATGATTTGAATATATTTCGTGCACTGGATGCAGCTGGTTACAGGACCAGACACTTACTTTCTTCAATGCACAAATCCTGGTGAGTGATATTAGCAGACTGCTGAGTGAACATTTATGTGTGGTACTTCTACATAAATAGTTTTGTTACTATCAGTTTAGGAATGGAGTATATACAGTAACTAGTAGGAGAAGACGATACAGGGAAAGAAACTCTCCTGCCATATACAAATACGACATCAGTGAGGCAGGTTTCCATCCTGCTCTTTAAAGGGGATGAGGGGAACTGGTTTGACTGTACATAACTGAAGCCAAGCCCAGCTCCACCTGTTCACAGTGTATGCCCCCAGCAATGTCTGGCTGTGCAGGAAACCGTGTTGCATCTGTGGTTATCACATTTGCAAAACAACACTGAACACACCCGTATTCAAAAGGTTATCACTGCAGCCTCTTGCAGGAAACAGAGCTTTATGTATTTACAGTGCCTTGCGAAAGTATTCGGCCCCCTTGAACTTTGCGACCTTTTGCCACATTTCAGGCTTCAAATATAAAACTAATTTTTTTGTGAAGAATCAACAACAAGTGGGACACAATCATGAAGTGGAACGAAATTTATTGGATATTTCAAACTTTTTTAACAAATAAAAAACTGAAAAATTGGGCGTGCAAAATTATTCAGCCCCCTTAAGTTAATACTTTGT